CAGGCCACCCTGGCTTGATGCCAGCAAACAGTTCCTGAATAGAGAGCACGCTCTATGAGCTTAGAGGCCGCTCTCTAATCACAGCACTGAATTCTTCTCCCGGACAGTTAACAACGCACACCACTGACAGCCATTATCACTGCTAATCATTTTCTCCTGATGTGAATCAAACTAATAAGCGCACATACAGTCTAGTACCATTTTTGGACAAAACTTTGACTAGCCACATTCTTATTCAGCTTGGGGTGGGCAATCCTTTATTATGGTCAATGTCATATTATCCCAGTATAAATACTAAATCATGATATAGTGTGTTTAAAGTGGAAATCTAATTCAGAGAGCATTTATAGATCAAAGAACCAGAAGGGTATTTCTGTTTTTGGCTAATCAAATTAAGTAATATGTGACAAGTCGAGGTATTTCATCACACTGATGGAACAATACTGTAAATACAATATTGCCAAAGATTGCTCATTGATTTGCTCACAGTGGCCTGACATAAGCAGAGATGTTAAAGAAATAGCTACCACGGTATAAACGGCACGGCAAACTCTCCAATCATTTCATCTTCTGGTGTTCTATTGCACAACGCTACCTTCACCGTGTGCAGGAAGAGAAACTGCAGCAACAGTTGAGCAACTGCTTTGATCAATTCATTGTTCAGTTCATTTTCCAAAAGAATCCCCAACATTTGATGGTTCCAGGTTCTCAAACTCGAGAATAAATAAATATATAATATAAATAAATGCTTTTTCTGGTCTTCCGTCAGAGAAAATCTAAAATGTAGGGGTTCTGGACTGTTGGTTGGACAAAACAACCCAACCAAATTAACCCACATTAATTGAAATAAAAATCCTAATTTCCAATCCAATTTCTTGTCGCTTACTGTATTACCAGCCCAGCTAAAGTAGTATCAAGGTTTAGTGCAGTCTGTTGTAGTGGAGGTGGACCTCTCCTCTCTTTCTTTATAGCAAACAGCAGTATGCAGAACCTTCAGGTAGCAGCTTTTCACTTCTAACTGGCACTGACCTTTTAACTGTCATATCAGCTCACTAAATAATGTAAATACTGTGGGGAACTTGCTGACGAGCCCAAATGAAACTTGGTTGTTTTGTGTACCCTCTTCTGCTTGGCTCTGTACTAAAAGGTCATTTGTCAGGGAAGAAACGCTGCTCTAACACTGCTGTTCAACCGCAAGTGGACTGAGTGTTGTGGTTCCCACAGCTCCAACAGGGTGGTCAATTTCCACAGAACCATCAGCTGATTGCGTCACGTCAGTTAAACTGTCATTCATATCAATAGGTTTAGGCTTATTAATGCAATCCTTTTGATTAAGTACCTCTTGAAGAATAATATGTGCCATGTTTTGTGGGGCTGTGTGCTGGCAAACATCTGGAGATATATGTTTCACAATGCAGAGGTTATGAGGCTACTACACAGAGGTTATCTGTCCTTTGGATTCTTACTGTTTTTTTCTCCTGTACATAGTGTTTATTTTATATTATATTATTTCCCTACTCTTACTGTTTTTAGACTGTTTTTTCTCTATCCACTTTGTTGCTGTAACATTGGAGATTTCCCATTGTGGGACAAATAAAGGGAATATCTCATCTTATCTTATCTTGTGATTCAGTCTTTACAATTCCGTAGGAGCCTAATGCTTAACTCTTTCACGTTCAGCCATTGGTGGCAACATTACTATCAAGCTAGGTTTGCTAATGCTAGCGGTGTGCCCTTTAGGATGGTCAGGAGATTTGAACACAACAGAAAATGAACCACTGCCACGAATGTTTGCATGCAAACTATTCATTCAAAACCAATACAGTGTTTTTGAGAATCAACACAGCATCACAAAACATTATATTGAAGTGATATTGAAGCAGTTCTTTCAGGACACATTTCTGAATGAATCGACTTCAGTGTCGGCAAATCCTCAGTATCAAAGGAATCAGCTCGGTATCGGGGCCAAAAAAAACTTGATCGGGACATCCTGGCTGTGTGTGGTATATTAGAAAGAGAACACTTTTTTATTTGGACAGTCTTGCCAACAAGCCACAATAACAGGAAAATGTAGAGTACACCACAAAATCCAAAACAAACCTGATATCTGCACTGCTGTTGTATCGATGCCGTAATAAAGTCTGAAAGTTGCATTAATGCTAGCACAGTGTACATACTGTGTACCGCCTCTGATACACACAAAAGATGTGGAGATGAGAAGAGAAATTCCTACATAGTCAATACGGACATGCCATGCCAGAGGACTCTGTCAGAACCAATGAATTAATAAGCAGCTTTCCACTGCCACTCTTTTAGCATTTATCTGATGCTAGTGCCATCCCACACACACATACACAAATGAAGACATCGAGTATACAAACACCGACACACAACCATCCGCCTCCTCCCCCTTTCGCACTCTCACACTCAGGTCAAACTTGGTCAGTATACCCTCACATTCCCAGACAAACTGTGACTGTGAGTGAATGTGTATGTGCGTCATTGTGTGTGTGTGTGTGCGTCTCCAACAGACAGAAAGAGAGGTCATTCAGTGCAGGGAAGTGATGACTGGGCAGCTGACACAGGAAAGAAAGAGGCAGATAGAAGGAGAAATAAAGAGAGGGAGAGATGTAGGTCACTTCCCAATTGTCAGTGAGTCATTGCTCTGGATCACAGCCAAACACACACACACACACACACACACACACACACACACACTGAGTGAACCACTATCCCCCAGCTACTGCTTACATGGAGCAGGGGCTCAATGTGTGTGCCTGTGTATGGCCTTTGACCTTTGAACCTGTTTGACGCTCCTCATTCCAGTCACGCACAAAGACACACACTCTCACACACACACACACACACACACACACACACACACACTCTCTCTATGAGGGCAATCCTTCCTGTCTTAACAGCTTGAATTTACGAGCACTCCCCTTCTATATGTCTCTCTTTCCCTCTGTTTCTCACCGGCCGACCAGAGTCCACTTTGCACTCTCTCTCTTTATGACTTTAACTTAATAGTGGGCCGTGTCACAGTGACATCACTACGTCATCACCCTTGGGTTACTGGCTGTCTCTAACATGTGACACTGAAGTGGCAGCAAAGTGTCCGTGTATGTGTGTTTATGTGGGTTGGTCTTGTGATAGACAACCTGTCCTCGGTGTACCACGCCTCTCGCCAATGCATGCTGGGATTGGCACTAGCCCCCACGGCCCTGCATATGTTAAGCAGGGAGAGAAAATGGCTGGATGGAAAATATGTGTCTTATGTCATGGCTAGATATTGAACCTCAATATTTTCGTGCACCGGCCGCTCGAAGAATCCAGTGTGGAAAAGTGTCGAGTTGTTGCTGGTGTTGTTTACGCATGTTTTCATCAGATAGTTCCTCATTTAAATCCTAATTCTGCCCTTTAGTCTTTTCATTTATTCAGGCAAAATTCTTGTACGACTGCTTGCGATTAGGCAATTAGAAAGGCAATTTATATTTTAGATTTTTCAAAACAAAAGAGCTCAATGTATGTTTTTTGTATTGGGTATCATTTTGGTAATGTTATATATATTTATACCTAATATGGTACACCGGTTCACAGGAAACACATGCTCTAGTGTCAAATCCCAAAAATGATCCCTCATACCAAATGACAACCAAACTAAACTAGTGTTATTTATTTAGTATTAGTCATCAGTATTATTAGTGTTACTATTTGTTTTTTAGTACTCTCCTTTTCTCACCTTCTCCTCAAAAAAGCCCCCTCCACCTTCTCAATTAATCATTTAACTTTTCCGTCTGTCAGGGGAAAAAAAGTGAAACAAATACAGAAATGTGCTGAAGCCTAAGATGACGTCTTCAGATGTCTTGTTCTGTCTGTCCAACACCCAAAGACAATCAGTTTACGATCACACAGGACAAAGAAAGGCGAAGGTTTGAGAACCTGAAAACTGGGTAAAGTTTAGACATTTAGCAGGAAAACAACTATATGGGATCGGCTGATTGTAAAAATAGTTGCAGATGAAATGTATCATCAAATGAATGAACTAACTAAAGGTTTCAGTTCTAACCCATTCCAACATTAAAAGCCTGTGTCGTTCATGTTGACGGGCCGTAAACACTCACTGAGAAGCAATGAGCCTGAGGTCAGGATGGGCTAGATTTGGTAATGAGCGCAGGCAGCCGACCTGAGGTCATTTGAGTCACACAACCAAACTCCCCATTTGCATAACACACAGCTACATTAACAGCCTGATGGAGACTTCAATTCTCAGTGTAACACGGCTGCAAACATGGGCCACCAGAGTCCGCCGATCAGCACTTGGACCACAGAAAACATGGGACCAAGTGCTAAATAATTGAGCGTTCCCAATCATGTAAACACATGCCAAACACATAGAAACTGCATCAGTAAAGAGGAACAGCAGTGACACACTGAAACCAACCAACAGCGCACATTATACAGAGCAGAATAAAGCCGACTCTCATGAAATCCACTTTGGAGCAGTCTGAAATAACTAAAAGGCCATAGCAAAGTCCTTTATCATTAACTGGTGGTATTTTGTCAACACCACCATTTTCACACAGAGAAACCATTCATTAATAAGTACAAATATGCCCTTAAATGGTGGCTCATAAATGCTGTAAGGAAGTAAGAATCAAAGAGACTAGTACATGTCACTACATGCTGTACAGAACAGTGGTGGGTTCATTTCCCATCTAGTTAATAAGAGGCAAAAGAGAGGCTGTGGGGCACCTGGTACCAGAGGACGGGGGCTGGCATGTCCCAGTTGGAACCAGTGAACTCATGCAATCACCCCCCAAAAGCTGACAACAAATACCAAAGCCTAAGCAAATGGGCTTTACCCGCCAGCACCCCCTTGTCATTTTGCAACTAATTGAATTATCCACACTGACTAACTCCGGTGTGCCCTGCAGTTATTCTGTTTGCAGGTCCAAAACGCAAAAGGGTTTTTTTTTTTTTTTCTCAATTGGACTCACAGTGGCTGGATCCGCTCCAGTGCCTGCCGCTCACCAGGGACCCTCCGAACGGACGCTGGAGTCCTCCTACGCCGGACAGGAGTCCCTTCTCCGGCCCGAGCCCCGGGGGTCTGTGGTAGTAGTCCATGCTCAGAAAAGAGCCGGGACTGGGGCTGCTGGGGCTGGGGCTAAAACCCGCAACATCCACGCTTTCGTACATCCCCGAGAGGCGGGAGTCGCGTTTGATCTCTTTGTGCCAAATAGAGAGAGAGAGAAAAAAAGATCAAAGCGTCCTGGACGGCGAACAGAGAAAGAGGGAGGGAGGGAAGGAAAGAGTTCACATCTTCATAACAGACTGATGGGAGGAGGAGGAGGAGGAGGAGAGGACAGGAGGGGGAGGAGAGAAAAAGAGATGACCGGTCCCGGTGACCTTTCAGCCCTTGGAGGCGCACGGGCAGTTCGCCGTCTTTTCGACGGAACAACGTCCGTTACGTCCGCTTTAGCACGACCGGAACGAGTTCACACGACAAAAGAAACACTGTTGTCTTCTTTGACGTCTTTTTTTGCAGTCCAAACGCTACAAGTGCCGAGTTCAGCGCCGTGCTGCTGGAGTTACTTTGTAGCACCCACGGCAAAGAAAGCCCCGTAACAACACATTAGAACACCATGTTAATAAGAGTTTATGACCTCCAGCCGGCGTCTCCGCGGTCTTTCCACAAGTCCTACGTCGCTACCGTTCGCAGTTGTTTCGCTCTGTGTTCAGGGTAGCTAAACTGATATTATGTAATTGTCAATGCGCTTGCTAATCCTTGTAGCCGGGCGAGCAACGGCCAGTTCGCTGACAGACTACTCCTTAATGTCACAGCCAGTACTGTTTGTCTTTAAATCCCTGCGTCCAGTAAATTAATGTATCCGTCGCCGAAAAGTAAAAAGAAAAAAAAAAGGTCCAGTCGGTGGGAAACGCGCTGCTCCGGGTTCTCCGAGTCTGAGCGTACACAACAGAAAAACACACATTACACACAATGGTGAACAGCCGCTGTCACATATGACTTTGAAGTTGCCGCTGTATGCCCGAGTAGCACGCTATCCACAGGGACAGCCGCCGGCGGCGAGGTAGGTCGAGATATCCGAGGCAGTTCGGGTTGGTGCGCCTCTTGTTGCTGGTTGCCGAGGTCCAGCAGCCGTGTCCTGTGGTAACCTCTGCTCTGTACCCGACGGCCTCGGTCTCTCTCTCTCTCTCTCTCTCTTTCTCTCTCTCTCTCGGGTTTGATGAGTGACACCAGCTGCGCACGAGCTCCACCTACCTGCCCTGCGCGTGCTTTAAAATGCGGCTACTACTGGCACAACTAAAACTACAACTACTGTAACTGTTTAGTCTACTGTGTCACCGCTTGAATAAATGCATGGTTAAAACCTCTATGTAATTGACTGAGATAAAACTTTACTGACATTATTTTGGTATGTTGTGTTGACATAAAAAAATGTGGAAAAAATAGTTGGAACAAGTACATTTTTATGAGTAGCCTAATTAACTTAAAAACTTAGTAAGTGGTCATTAAAAACACCTTTGATTGTAGAGGAAAAGCTAATTACCCCACCTCCATGTAGTTTGTTGAACATAATTTCATTAGAAGTTGACATAACTCAAAAATATTTTTTAAACAAAACATTTGTTTTTAGAATACAGTAATAAAAGTCATGATTAATAATCCGCAAATTCCCCCAGACATATCCACGATGCGTTCCGTTCTAGGCAATGCTCTGAATTCGACCATTCTCCGCTCCGCGTAGAATAGACGACTGGTCTGTTTTTGATGGAAGCAGCGACCAACTCGCATCAAGCAGCACAGAGCTGATCGCACTGGCAGGAAGTCAGACTCAAACGAGTAAGAAAATCCGCTCAATTGTCAAATGTAGGAATCGTTGTGTTTTTGTCACCTTAGCCTACATTAGGATGCATTAGCTACATTAGGCTAGTTACGTTTTTTTTATATAATTACTTTTTACTCCCTGCCGACAGTAATAAGTTACACTACTAGTTATATTACTTTTCTTTTTTGTGTCCTTTCTCCCCAAAATTCGGACTTATGACGATTAAAATCCAGTTTTGTTTGTTAAAATCGGAGTAAAGTAATATTTCCAGCTGCTGAATGTAAACCACCACCTTCCAAATTAGTTTCCTCCAGGATTACAAAAATGAATCCAAGGATATGATTGTAGTGTTGGATTTTAAATCAGTAAAAGTAATATTGTAACTAATTAGTTACACTACTAGTTACTGGGAAGAGTAATATTATTACTAGTAATGAGTTACTGCCCAGCAGTGTACATTAGAGTGAGCTGTTTTTATCTACAGAGACTTCCATAAAGTTCGCCACGTTCAACCACCATGTTTCTACAGTAGCCCAGAAGGGACAAACCAAACACTGGCTCTAGATAGGCACATCCATGTGTTGCGTTTGGCCACCGTAGCTCTCTCCTTTGCTTTGGAAGGTAGGTGAAGCGGAGGGAGTTGCAATGTGCACTGTGTAAATTTACCGTGTTGTTGTTGTGGTTCATTTTACATTAAATCATTTTGAGTGATTTCTCACTGTGTGACCCGGCTGCTGCTTTACAGAAAGTTATTTACAGTACAAGTGGATTCAAAATATTGTATGAGTTTGCAGGTATTTTTGCACATGCAGATGTAGCGCTACATTAGCAACCACTCATGCGTCCGTGCATTAAATGCATCGATTCTAACCACGTCAGCACCCCTGCACACACACACACACACACACACAGCTTAAAAATCCTTTGCATAAGTACCCTTATTCCTTGCTGTGAGCCCACCCTGTATTGATTACTGCTGGGTTAAAATGTGAGCGGAGAAAGGAACACATCACATCATTTGCTGTCCGTTAATCGATTACAGGACTTAATTATGGGAAACCGCCAGAGGAGAGGTGGAAAAGTGGTTAACAAAGAGCTAAAGGAGGATGAAAATGGAAGATTAGGTATAGGATATTAAATGTGAAAAGCAGCAGAGAAAAAATGATTACGCCATAAGTCTGAATATACACAACACATTTTCTCAAAAATCCCTGCAGGAGGACGGCAGGCGCATGGGAGGGCAATGCTAACTAAATGTACTGTGAGCCGGAAGAGGTGGACATTTTTCGACTGTGGACCAGTTACATGTCATTATATAATAGTAAATAAATAAATATAATC